AACACGAGTTTCACCAAATAAGAGCACAGCAAAAGCTCATAAGTGACAATGTTGGAATAGTCTCATCATCATCAACAAAGAACTAATGTCGACATCCTATCTGGCGCTCTGCGCCCAGACTACAAATGGCAGATCCTATCTAGCCTATCTACAATGCCGCTGGTGATGTCAACAGCTCCCCGAAGTACGAGCAGAACTCGGCCAATGCCGTTCGCCTCAAGCACCAGGTATGTCTCTCGTATCACTCACAACCTCGATCCCCCACTCACAGATGCCACATGCAACCAAGGACCACCATGCGCCCCATCCAGCTATGCAGCGCAGCTCGGCTATGGCTGCCTGCCTCTCCCTGCTCGCCCGTGAGCCTGGCCAGCGTTTAGCGCAGCATGCAGCCAGTGCCCGAATGAGGAATGCAGGGGCAGGCACTTTCCTAAATGGGAGTGGTCTGCCTGCTGCGTGCGACCTGGCTGTACGGGGCCCCGGCCCAGAAGCTTCCAGTAGGCCCCGGGAGGCTGAGCCCCAGTCTGAATGAAGGCCCAGGGCCTGTGACAGTTACCTGTGCCCAACTGCCTGCAGCCTGAGTTGGGTCCTTGTTGCGTATTTCGCCCAGGGCCTGACTCGGATGCATTTGATGAACGTAGCCAGGGCCTGGGCGCTTTCAACCAACTGGCGCTGCACAACTGCCTGAACTTCCCCAGTAGCGTGGAGACCCCAAATAGGTCTCGGTCGGGCCTGCCTTCACTTAGGGCGGCCGACTGTACTGAAAAGAGGGCCCAGTAGGGCTTATGGAGGCCTTGAGCCTCGCACAGTGTTCTCAGTCTGTGTTTTGGCAGGTCCTTACAAAAAAAAAAACTTAAAAAAAGAATGAAAAGTTGAAAACTCATTCTGTCCTTGCTGACTGACTCCTTTAGAGGGAAATTTTGTTTTCTGAATTTTTATGACTTCATCATTCGTTGGCTTAAGGGTATTCAGAAATCATCTGTCTCCTTCCTTTGTTGGGCTTAGGAACAACAACTCACACTGCATTTGTTGAGAGGGAGCGCATTTCAAAACGGCCATAGCAAAAATGTCGGAGGATTCCCTTTCCACACGGAGGATTCCCTTTTCTCTGTATGAAGAGTTTGCTTTCCGTACACCAAGGATTTGCTTTCTGTACCAAGGATTCCCTTTCCAAACCAAGGATGTGCTTTCTGTATACCGAGGGTTGGCTTTCCGTATCAAGGATTTGCTTTCCGTACCAAGGATTTGCTTTCTGTACCAAGGATTGCCTTCCTATACCATTGTGTGTTTATGTCTGGACTTGATCTCCTGACTTTTCAATGACAAGCTAAGTTCTAATCTCATCCTTCGCTTGAACACACGGCCAGCAAGTACTGCTAAGGAACTCCAAACTTTCAGAGCCATGTATTGAAGTGCAGAGTCCACTCCTTTGACTAAGGATTGCATGTCCATGACTGTATGCTGCTTGTGTCAGGCAGACACAGATGGAGAGGGTGGGGCCAAAGCCTCCAAACCGCGGCTTTCTTTGCAGCTTGATTGGTGGCCAGCTGACTCAGTAAGTAGTGTGAACACTCTACAGAAATCTCTCCGCTCCCTTCATCCTCCCTTCCTTTGCTTCTGCCTTACCATTATCCCATTCTCCATGTCTGCGTTTGTCTCCTTTCTCCTCCTCCTCCTCTTTCTCCTTTTTCTCCTCAGTCTCTATGTCTCCTCTTTCTCTCACTTTTCCTTTTACTCTCCTTTCTCCCCTTGTCCCCTTCTCTTCTCTTGCTCTCTCCTGGCTGCTTCCTTCCTTCCTCCACTTCCTCCCCTTCCTCTCCCTTCCTTTTCTTCCGCTTTCTCCCATTATCCCTTTTCCCATCTGCTCTTTCTCCCCTTTTGTTCCCACGTTCTCGCCTTTTTCGTCACTTTCTCCGTCCTTTTTCCCTCCATTCTCCCTCCGTTATCCCCTTCTCCCTTTGTCCCTTCTATCCCCTTTCTCCCCTTTCTCCCCTTTGTCACCTTTCTCCCGCTCCTCACCTTCCTCTCCCTCATTCCCATTCTTCAGTTCGCACTTTCTCGTTCTCCTCCTTCACCCTTTTGCTTCCTCTCACATCGGCCAATGTTCAAACAGGTTGTCCAGTGGATGACTGGACCTAAGAATGGTTCACAAACTATTACATTTTCACCATCTGAAGATTTAAGTAAGTCCTTGAACATCGGATCATCCAATTTCTCGTTCTCCTCCTTCACCCTTTTGCTTCCTCTCATGCAATTAGACTCGTTTTCAAACACACTTTTCACACATGTAAACAGTAACGCAGCATACTGGCGACATGCGCCCACTCAAAACTCAGAGACATGGTTTTCAGATACGAATTTCACTCTCAATTGGCTATGGCGTCTTCAGCGCCCAAACATCTCACTGTTCACATACACTGGATCACCCTGGATATCCCACACGCATCACTCTAACACTCGAGCACACACACACACTCACTACTAACTACA